TATTCGCGCGGCTTGAGCAGCGTGTACATGTGCACGTTGCGACCGTAGTGATCGATGTCGTCGGTGCGCTGGCCGTTCGCGAAAAGCTGAATCCGCTTCACCAGGCAGCCGGGGTGTCCGGTCAGGGGGTGGAAATCGTTCGTGGCATCGTTGTTGACGAATCTAAACGCGATCTTGATGGATTCAGGATCCAGGAAGTCGCCTCCGGTAGTGAGCGGGATCCTCGCCACCCTGCTTGTGGTGGAAGTGAACGTGCTCAACGAGCTCGGAAAAAACTGCACGTCCTTGCGAGAGGTGACGTAGGAGGCGTTGGAGGTGCGCATCTTGTAGTCGAGGGAGCTGATGAGCTCATCGTTCACCGCGTTTGTGACCTGGTCCATCGCTTTTCTTAGTATCACGCATGCAATTTCGTCGTTTGCCCTAGCAAAGTTCACGCAGCCTCCGGCTCGTGAGCCAGTGCTTCCCGCCGCAACTCGCCGAACGTGGGCTCCGCCGGCGGCGGCCTGAGCCTTGCCCTTTGCCTTCTAACAGGCCCGAATCCCTCGCTCACAGCTGCTACTTACAGGCCTTCGCGGCTGTCCCACCGGGTTGATTCCCCACGGCATGTTGGAGGGCGTGGACCGCACTTGCGGCGCCGGCTGCTGCTGAGCTGGTTCGTCGGAGTCTCCGGCGGCGATGTCGTAATGCACCACAGGCCGACTTCTTGCGGGCTGTCGCAGGCTGATGTGCTCCTGCGGCGATCCCTGCTGCATGTTGTTCAACGTTCTTATGTCGACTGCGTGAATGTCGACTGCGGGAACGGATTCTGAGCTCGAGGCATCGTTGCCGCCCAGCAGCCAGCGACCGCCACGATAGAGCCCATAAGCGGCTCCTCCTGCCAAAGCGGCCGCGCCTCCAGTAGCCACGCCTGCGGCCATCCCCAGCCCCTCAGCCAGCGGGAAAGCCATCGCAGCGGCCTCGCCAGCGCCTTCCACTGCCGCGCCCCCGAATGCGGAAAGACCTGCCAGTGCTGCGCCGCCTTCTGCCGCTGCCGCAGCGGTCTGCGTGCCGGCTTCAGCAAGCAACGGCGTCATTTCGCCGCCTTCCGCCGCGGCCTGTTGAGCGGCAAATTCTTCGATGTCCGCAGCGGCCGCTCTTTCCGCTTCTTGCGCCCTTTGTCCTGCCCTGGTGATCAGCTCTTCCGCTTGGGATGGCCTCCCGATGATGGTGGGAGCCACGCGGCGCTCGATCACATCTACAGCTCGCGTTGCGTTGCGAAAACCGAAGTTTTCGACGGACCTCCCCACGCCGGCGGCGCCCGCGGCGATGATGGCTCCCCCCCCTCGCGCGGCAGCCTCGGCGAAGCGGCCGCTCACGCTGCTCGAAGCCTGCGGGGGCCTGGGCGCGTCGAAGCCATCCCGCCTGAAAGCCTCGTCGGGGCCGCTGTCGTCGGTGTCTGGCCCCGGCCCCAAAAAGTTTGGGCGCTGGACTTGCGGGAAAGGCCTGCCCTCGTAGCCGTCGTCGGCGCTGGCGAATTCTTCTTCCACCGCGGCTCCGAGCTGGGTGTGAGGTCTGGAAGCCTCGCTGAGCGGTTCCGTAGACTGGGGAAATCGTCCAAATAGAAGTGGCTCGAGGTATAAATGCTGGCCCTGCGGTTCGGCAAGGCCATCTTCAAAGGCTCCCCTTCATTGATGTATGCGAGCACCTCCGCGAAATCGGGGCGCTTCCGAAATCCAAGCTCGCGTCGTTCTTCCATTTACAACCTAGTGCGTCGCGCCTCTTGCCAGCTGCTGAGCGGCCCGTCGAACTTGATTTCGTTCCGCGACGGTCCAGCGCAGTTGTGGTATTCTCCGGTTCACAGCTTCCTGAACCCGGCCCACGGCGTCGACGTAGGCGTCGCCTTGCTGCCTAAGCTGCCGATCCCTGAGAAACTCGTTGAACGCCCTCGCGTCCATGAGCTCTTCGTAACGCTTTCGCATGAGGGCATTCAAGTTGTACGCAGGGTACCTCTTCCAGAACTGGTGCAGCATTTGCCGCTCGTTCCGCGGCTCGATTCGCATCATCCTTTACTATTTAGACATCCATGGTATTTCGCGTGAGCAACTCTTCGAAGCCTCTCGTGAGCTGCCTCATGTGCCGCAATTGAGCGGGCGAAGGCAGCGAAGGCTCCTTTTTCACAGGGGAGGGAACATCAGGATGCTCCTCGGGCTCCGGCTCTGGCTCTGGCTCTGGCTCTGGCTCTGGCTCTGCCGGAGCCGTTGGCGGCGGTTTTGCTTTCGGCTTGTTCTTGCTGCCCGGGGGCCTTCCCCGCTTCTTCGCTGCGGGCTTGGGAGCAGGCTCCACAGGTAGCTCTTCAGGTTCAGCCACTCTTTCGCCCTCCTGCGCTTCTCCGGCAACCTCCTCCATTGCTTCTCCCATCTTTTTCCGAATAGCATTTATCTTTTCTAGTCGTCCGCCCATTAGTTCCATTAATGAATAATCACCCGTCCAAGTAGATGCAGAAGCTTATGCTGGTGCCGCGCAGGTTGACCGTGTTCCCATCGACGTCGGTCAATCTGAAGCGCAGGTACCTGAGCGTGATGGGTCCTCGGATGTTGACCAGGTGGTTTTCGTCGGTGCTGCTTTCCATGATGTGCCCGACGCCTCGATTGCAGATGATCTTGGCCACGATGTCGTGCCCGAGAGGCCCCACCGTGTCTGCGGCGTTGGAGAGGCTGCTGCAGCGGAGGTACAGCTCGGAATAAGGCATCATCTGCACGAAGGTGAAGATTTGACTGCCTCCGCTCACGAAGCTCGGGCCCAGGAGGTGGTTGATGCTCTGCGGCGCGGACGGCGTCGCCCCCTGCGGGTAGTCTGCGGAATTGGGAGAGCGCCCGCAACTCCTGATCGTTCAAAATCGTTCGGTTGCCGTCGTGAGCGACGGTGATTTCGTTGGTGCTTTCCACGTATGTTGCGCTGGCGAAATTGGAGGAAATCCACGCGGCCAGCCGCGCGCCTGTGTACGCTCCTACGGCCAGCTGCGCCCAATTCAGCGTGCCCAAAGCTTGATCTTCCCAGTACAAGTAGGTGCCGCGGTCGGTGCTCAGAAAGGTGTCGGCCACCCTGATCTTGAAAACGGAGAGCCTCGCCGAGCCCTGGAGGTGCACGGTTTGGCCGATGTCGAATTCGAAGTCTGCGTCGCTTCCTGCCATTCGCTTCCGCGAATCGACCCAAATGCTGGTCATGAGCTTGAGTTTATTGTATGCCGCGCGCTGCATTCGCTGTCCCCTGAGCACTGCGTCGTTGCTGTTGTCCGAAAAGGAGCGCTGCTGTTTTAGTGGATGGCCCGCCATCGGCTCCGGCAAGCGTTGCATCCACGGCGGGCGATTAGGATCGTAATTGTGCGGCAGCGCGTTGCTGCTGCAGCAACTGACGTTTTTGCACTCGCTGTTGAACAGGGTGCTGCTCGCGAAGAGCTTCCCGAACACCGCCCCCAGCGCCTGTCCCATGGTTTTCTAGCTGGAACACCCGCTCGAATCGTATGTGGAACATTTTCTCGCGTGGGTTGAGCAAGTAGATGTACAGAAAGCTGAAGGGCTCCCTTACAGCCTCCTCATACATCGCTTCGAGGTCCGCCTTGGGGAGCAGCGCGGTCAGTTCCTCGAGCAGGCTGTCTTTCTCGAGCTGGTTCCGCAGCCTCCAAATGCAGAAGAACTGGCTGTTTACTCGAACGGCGTTGCTGATCAAGCGGAGCTTCTGAGTGCTCACGATCGTCGTGATCTGAAAGTGGCGACCCCTGACGAAGAGCGTGTCCAGGGCGGCGTCGCCCGTTCTTTTGTGCAGGTGTGGCGAGTCCGCGAAATCGTCGATGACCACCAGGATCTGGTACAAGCGCTTCATGCCCAGCTCCTTGCTCTTCTGCGTGATCTTGCGCTGCTGGGCTATGATCCGGCGCAGCGCGGCTTCATCCCAGTCCTCGAAGTAGACTTTTTCGCGATCTGTGTCAGTGGTTTCCTGAATGTACTTCTTGACTGGCTTCCAGCCGTCATCCACGTTGATCGACGGGCTGAACACATAAATCCTTTCGAAGCAGCCTCTGTACCATGCGCTGATTCCACTCCTGCCGTAGTTTGTGAGAATGGCCACAACATCCCTTTTGTTTTTCAGCTTGGACATGCAGGCATGTCGTTGCTGGCGCAGGTATGGAACGAGGCTGGAGCGCCTGGGTGAGCTTCGCTGTCAAGCCTCCCGTGGCGGCCTCTAGAAGTGCCGGCTGCACGAGTCTGGATGATCCCTACCTAGACACTCCTATAGACCCATACTTTGGGGCCTTCAGTTCATCATTCGGGCATTTTGGAGGCTAGTACGCTCTCAGCCTTTTCCATCTTTCGATGTTTTGATCTTTCGATGGGAACCTGTCGAGGTAGACCCTCTTCAAAGCGTTGACTTGTAATCTTGCAAGCGCAACTGGAAAGCATGCACTTGCCAAGTGCAGGAGAGTCATGTGAAGACATTGGCCTCTGCCTGCAAACCCACTGCACAGACTCATGTTTTGTCAGCTTCGATCAGCCAAAAAGCGCACTTTGCATTCCTCAAGCGCAGCCGTACATTAGCGTCAGGAAGCTAAGGGCACAAGACCCGGAGGCTCAACCTGCTGAAAACTAGTGTGGCATGGTGGCTCCAGCCTAAATTGAGGAATTAAATACAGGCAAGTATGTATGTCAGACTAACAGCAGATTGGGCGTTGACATCGCGCACAGCTCCAGTCTTCACATTGCAGATCGGATAACTTGACCCATGCGGGTAGAAAGGACCTCAACTTGAGACCCCATGGATGCTCCACCGGCTCAAGCCGCTGGGTACCCAGTCGCACCCTCCCCAGAAGGGGCGGAAAAGGCGGATGAGACGGATGAGGACTACGACCTGACTGACTTGCGGGGACTTCTCAAGTTCCTGTGTGATTCGAACATCATTCTGATCCGAGGGCAATTCCTGAAGAAGCTTCTCGACAAAGGCCGTGCGTGGCCGCGTCGCCAGGAGTTGGAGCAGGAGGCCGCTGCAGCAGGAAATGCCACAGAGTTCTTCATCGATCGTCAAAGGATGAGCTCCTTGAGCTCCTTACCTTTGCCCGCTGACTGGGCCAAGGAGAGAGACTGCCCCTTCGTGGCCATCTCACATTGCTGGGAAGCGCGCGAACACCCAGACCCTTCGCGACACCAGTTGCGTTTGGTTGTGAAGCATATGCAGAACTTGGATAGCCCAACGCTTCCCACCTCTTGGCTGATGCGTGGGCACCTTCCCCAAGATTATTATTTCTTTATTGATTTCATGAGCCTCTACCAGTACGAGCGTTGCGCGGAAGAGCAGAACCGCAGCTTTAAGGCAGCGATGCGGAACATGCAGGTCGTATACTGCCACGAGTGCACGCAGACCTGGCGCGTCGAGTCTCTTGCCCCAGAGATGGAGGAAGAAGCTGCATCTATCCGAGTGGACATCTGGGACGACGCCAAGAAGAAGCTGCCAGGGTTGAGTTATAGCATTTGTGACTTTTACTGGCCATAATTGTTTCAAAGCATCATTGCTTCAAAACCCTCGCAGACCCACGGAAATTAAATTCTGTATTCTGCAAAATCAGCCAAAAACGAACCATATTTCTTACGTAGCCCTTGTAAGCCCACAGAATCAGCTTTAGGATGCGTCTCTCCCTGATGAGCCGCCTCACGGCCAACCGCACTCCCTACAGGCGCCGTGGTCTAAACAACTACCAATACATTTATTTCGTAATTCCCTATGGAAGCACAGTACCACAACAAAATAGATCTGTACTTCCCATGTGATCACCAAATAACAACTTGTCTGACCCCTTTATTATGATTGGTCTTATTATTATCATTCTTAGTATCATTATTACTATTGTTATTATTATAGTTTAATCAGATTCTAAAGTACCCCACCCCCCTCGTACTTCATAATTCCTATATGATCATAACATATACACACAAGCGCTATGTAATCAGAATCGATCATCATTTAGTCTACCCAGAAACGCCAATCTAACTAATTCTTAGTAATTCCCACATACTCTTTGTATAATCTACCCAACAGCCCTATGTCATCATAATCGATCATCATCTAGTATACCTGGAAACCCTGTATGAGGCGCCGCGGCTGGTGTGTGGCTGAGCTGCAGTGGTCGAAGGCACGCTCGGCCTCCGAGAAAACACACATCATCGACGATGCAGATGCGATGCCGAAATACGGGCGAGAGGCCCCGATGCCCCCCAACATTTTTGAGGACAGGGTGGAAAAGGAGGACTTGGTCTTCACTCATCGTGGGGACGCTAAGCCGGTGCTGGACTTGCAGAAGAAGATCTTCGAGAAAAAGGCCAAGGTCACTGACATGTTGTTGCTGCAGGACCTGCCCAAAGAAGAGCTGCAGATACTCGCTGCCGCGATCCCGCTGTACCCCCGCCTGAAACGCCTAGAGCTGCGGCACTGCGAGTTTGAAGCCGGTGACTCCCGACCCCTCCTGGAGGCCCTCTTCGCTTCTTCCATCCAAGAGCTTCTCATCGAGGACTGCGAGGATCTCCTGCCCTTCCTGGAGGCGTGGCGCAAGCTCGTTGAAGAGCCAAGCTCCGTGGGCAAGGCATGCAGAGGTCCTACCTCAATCTCTTTGAGGAAGAACAACATCACAGATTCGGGAGCCCAGGTCCTCATCCAAACACTCCGAAAAAGCTCCTTGTACATGCAAGTGATCCTTGAGCAGAATCCCATCCGAGAGGCCACAACGAAGGCCTTGCGGCTTGCCAACGCGATCTTGGCCATCAAGTTCCAACAACAGGAGAGGCTTGATTTGAGTCAGGCCGACTTGGGCGACTATGATGCCGAGGTGCTGGCTGAAGTTCTCCAGTCGAATTGCTCCGTTACAGAGATCAACCTGCGGCACAACAAGATAGGAGATGTGGGGGTACAGGCTCTTGCTGAAGTCTTCAAGGTCCACTGCTCCATCAAGAAGATCGACCTGTCGTGGAACAAGGTGGGGCTTGTGGGGGCGCAGGCCCTGGCAAAAGCCATGGAGATGAACCCCGCCATCAAGTCGGTCGAGCTGTCCAAGTGTGAGATCGGAGACCTGGGGGAAAAGACTATGAAGTTGGCCCACGCGATCTCGGCCATCAAGTTCAGCAAAGGAGTGGAGGTTGACTTGTCTCGTGCTGGTTTGGGAGACTCCGATGCAGAGGCCCTTGCAGAAGTCATCAAGATGAGCTCCAGCATCGAGTCGATCGACCTGGGTTCCAACCAGATCGGTGATGTGGGAACGCAAGCTCTTGCTGAAGCATTCAAGGCCAGCCGCTCCTTCCACACAATGACACTGAGCAAGAACCGGGTCGGAGATGTGGGAGCGCAGGCCATCATCCAAGCGATTCAAGAAAGCTCCGCATGCAAGCAGGCGTTCCTTGAAGGCAACCAGATCCAAGAGGCTGCCATGAAGGCCGTGGAGTTGGCCAATCAGATCTCGAACATCAAGTTCAGGGAAGAGGTGCAAATCGGGAATCTGAACATTGAAATCAAGGAGGTACGCATACTTACTTTGAGCTGCAAGCGCTTGGGTGACTCCGACGCTGAGGCCCTCGCTGAGGCCATCAAGGTGAGCCCGTCCATCGAATCGATTGACCTCAGCTCTAACCAGATCGGGGATATGGGGGCGAAAGCCCTTGCCGAAGCCTGCAAAGTGAGCTCGTCTATCCGAAGGATCGAGTTAGCTTCCAACCACATTGGAGATGCAGGAGCGCAGGCCTTTGCGGAAGCCATCAGAGCCAGCCACTCCCTCATATATATCGACCTGACTTTCAACAAGATGAAGGATCAGGGTGTGAAGGCTGTCAGTGATGCAGTCCGAGACAGCTCCTCCAACAAGGAGGCGTTCCTCGAAGGCAATGTGATCCAAGATGCTACCATAAAGGCATTGCAGGCAGCGAAGGTGATCTCGGTGATCAGATTCAAAGAAGCACCAGCTGAAGTCCGTTTACGCGACATGCTCCTGGCGGATCCTGATGCGATTGCTCTTGCGGAAGCTATCAAGATGAAATCCTCCATCCGCAAGCTCGACTTGAGATGGAACCAGATAGGAGACTGTGGAGCGCGGGCCCTTGTGGAAGCCATTAAGGTCACCCCCTCCATCGAATCGATTGACCTCAGATCTAACCAGATTGGAGACGCGGGGGCGCAGCTCCTCGCCGAAGTCATCAGGTCGAGCTCCTTGCTCACATGGATCGAAGTCAGTTCCAACAGGATAGGAGATGTGGGAACGCAGGCTCTTGCTGAAGTTCTCGCGTCGAACTCCTCCATCACAGAGATCAACCTGCAGCACAACAAGATAGGAGATGCGGGGGTACAGGCTCTGGCTGAAGTCTTCAAGGTCCACTGCTCCATCAAGAAGATCGACCTGTCGCGGAACAAGGTGGGGCTTGTGGGGGCGCAGGCCCTGGCAAAAGCCATGGAGATGAACCCCGCCATCAAGTCGGTCGAGCTGTCCCAGTGTGAGATCGGAGACCTGGGGGAAAAGACTATGAAGTTGGCCCACGCGATCTCGGCCATCAAGTTCAGCAAAGGAGTGGAGGTTGACTTGTCTCGTGCTGGCTTGGAAGACTCCGATGCTGAGACCCTCGCGGAAGCCATCAAGATGAGTTATTCCATCGAAACAGTCAGGCTAGGAGAGAACCGGATCGGAGATGTGGGAGCGAGCGCTCTTGCAGAAGCTGCGGCAGTCAGCTCCTCCCTGTTGACGCTAGACCTTGGGAGCAACCGGATTGGAAACTTGGGAGCGCAGGCCTTTGCGGAAGCCATCAAGACGCATTCCTCCTTGCGGTATGTCGACTTGAGCTGGAACCAGATAGGCGATGCCGGAGCGCAGGTGCTTGCTGAAGCCTTCAATCAGAGCTCCGCCCTTCGACAACTTGTTTTGAAAGTCAACAACATCGAAGATGCAGGGGCCAAGGCCCTAGAGGCGGCTGAGGCCAGCGGGGCAGGCAGATGGAAATCCATCTCTTGGGCTCCAACCAGATCAATGCACCTTCTGGAGCAGGCACGGGAGCAAAGGGGCGGTGCAGGGATCACATGGGCCCCATCACAATCGGAACTTCTGAAACAAATGCAGAGGATGAAGCCACATAGATGACCCTTTGTAACAGGATCCTAGGGGGATTGCGAATTCGCGTCTCACTGTTCTCATGATCCCAAAGCCGAAATTGTCGACGACAGAAAAGCTCTGTTGCGTGTTTGTTGTCATTCGTTGTAGCAGCTTGCGCCCATCCGGACCAGTGCTACTTGCAGTGAATTCTCTTTTCTGCCTGACTGGGTGATGCAGGCGGTGCCATACGACAGCTCAAACCGAAACCCCTCGATTCATCCGATATTTCCATGACTTGGCAGCCGGCCTCAAGCTTACTGTGAATGGGCTTCCCCTCCTGCCCATTGGGAGTTAATTAGCCTGCACGTAGGCCCCAGTACCTTAACCATCAGAAAAGGCGCAAGGTGAGGGTCCATAGGATTGTTTTTTTGTCGAGTTTACATTCAGGGTTTGGGCCCGGAGTCTGCATGAACAGCTTAAGCAAAAAGAGGACAGAAACAAGAAGCCCGCAACAAAATCATCACCCGGAGTCTGCATGAACAGCTTAAGCAAAAAAAACTGAAACAAGAAGCCTGCAACAAAATCTTCGCCCGGAGTCTGCATGAACAGCTGAAGCAACTCGAGCCAAAAAAGGACAGAAACAAGAAGCCCGCAACAAAATGAAACAAAATCTTCGCCCGGAGTCTGCATGAACAGCTGAAGCAAAAGAAACAGAAACAAGAAGCCTGCAACAAATCTTCGCCCGGAGTCTGCATGAACAGCTTAAGCAAAAAAAGACAGAAACAAGAAGCCCGCAACAAAATCTTCGCCCGGAGTCTGCATGAACAGCTGAAGCAACTTAAGCAAAAAAAAGACAGAACCAAGAAGCCCGCAACAAAATCATCGCCCGGAGTCTGCATGAACAGCTGAAGCAAAAATAGACAAAAGCAAGAAGTCCGCAACAGAATCTTCGCCCGGAGTCTGCATGAACAGCTTAAGCAACAAAAGACAGAAACAAGAAGCCAGCAACAAAAAAAATCTTCAGCCGGAGTCTGGATGAACAGCTCAAGCAAAACAAAAGACAGAAACAAGAGGCCCGCAACCTCGGGCAGCTGATGCTCAAGATGCGCGTCATGATGTGTCACGCGAGGTGTCCGGTTGATGGCCCAGGGCTGGAGCCCAGTCGCTTGCGGGCGCGTTCCTGTGCGTTGTGTTTGCCCCGTGCGCCGCTCTTCGATTGCCCGAAATGTTGCTGACACAGGTTGTTGTGCGTCATGGAACAATACAGAACACAACTATGTGCTGTGCCGCTATGTTTGCCAGCGTAGTGGTCGGCCAGGGCAGTGAAGCAGTTACATCTGTCCGGGTTCATGAGTAGTCGATACAGAAACTTTTCGAAAATAAGTTTGCGAAGGATCAGTGGGACTTGGAAACACAAATTGAAGAACGGGTTGCGGCAGTTGTTGAACAAAGATTGAACGGTCGCAGCCATGGGCATCGGAAGAACGCCCGGCACATTGATCACCAGAATGAGCGGTGGGTTTTATTATCACGTCCGAGCTGTTTGTTGGCATTGTGGATGGCCAGGTTCCATCGTGGAAAGTTGCGGCCCCAATGTGTGGGCACCATGTACAGAAGAACAAGCAGCTGCTGGCGCCGTGTGTGCACATAGAACATGTGTGGATACACAGCTAATCGGCTTTCGTCCTGCTCAGCGTAAGGCCCTGATGATTGGCAGCTGGCGGGCGGCTCGAAATTTGATGTGAGCCGGTTAGGATCTGGGGATGATTTTGTTGGATGGCTCAGTACGTCCGCACTCAAATCAGGATGCACGCATGCCTGGTGTGCAGGCCGCCTGCGAACATTTGTTTGTATATTGCTTCGTGTGGTCGGCCCGGCAGTTGTTGCCGCGCAGGCGCTCAACAACTTGTTTTTCGGCAGTGGCCGGGAGCGCAGACACGATGGATTTGTTTACCCGTTTTTGGCTTGCCGAAGAATCGCTGATTTGCTCTGCGTGGGTTAAGGATGCAGCGGGCGACAATGGGATGCTGAAGCAGCCGTGCTTTCTTCGCTAGTCCATGTGCGGGTCCAGTTTTCCGACAGTTGCAGGTCCAGCTGGTTAACCGTTTCGGCAATGGCCAATTCTCATTGCCAAGGAACGAGCACCTCCTGGGCGCCATGTCGATTGTCTGGTTGACCAGCAGTGCGGGGCTGAATCATACGTTGCGCGGCAACCATTGCAGTGTACGGATCCAAGCTTCTGTGATCGTAAGGTGGTGGCGTGACCATATTGCAGCTGCAGATGACGATGCAGCAGCTACCGTGTTTGACTTGTTTGTGCCTGGGAGAAAAATGTTTTTGGCACAATGTCAGACAATCGATAATGTTGCCCATAGTAGCGGCCTGGAGTCATTGTGGGTGGATAGTCAGGCCACGGATCCAGCTGGATGTCAAGTCAATTTGTACGAGGCAGAGCAGACACAGGAGATGGCACACATGTGCGAAATTGAGTTTTCGAATCCTGAGCCACCGGAATCGTTGCAGGTGTTAACGTGTGGTGCTATGCTTTCTCCCCACTTGCGGCGAGAAGCAAAGGCCAAACTTAATGTAGTGTGAGTGTGCCTGGCGGCAAGAAAATCGTTATGTATGGCATGCTTGTGTAGGCAGCCATACTGTGCTTGATTTGGAGTGGTCGCGCCCCAATCTTCAGATTGCGTGTGCTTTTGTTTGCACTTCACGGAAGGCAGGGCTGGGCAGAAAATACGGTCTGACAACCAGAAGAACAAGCCAGACAAGGAGACTGAGGAGAACGATGCCGGTAACTATGATGACGAGACAACAGCGATGATACGGACGAGGACGAGGACGAGGACTACGGCGACGAGAATCCGAGATGACGAGGACGACGAGGATGACGAGGATTGCGACGATGACGATGACGACGTTCACGACGATGGCAATGCCGATGGGGATTCATGATTCGTGGTTCGTCATTCATCATTCGTGATGGTGATTGTAATGTCGTAGAGATTCACGATGTTGATGGCGATTCGCGTCAGCGATTCGCGTCAGCGACGATGGTGGCGGTGCTGGTGCTGATGATGGCGACGACGCAGATTGGTAGCATGGAGAGTAAAGGTTCCGATGCCAAGCTTTGACAGTATTTTCGACAGAGGAGCGAGAAGGACACAACATGTTATCGGCGACCGAGAAAGAAGGACGGCAAGCATGATAGCTGATAGACAGGGAACCTGGGGTGGCTCGACGAGGGACAAAACCAAACGACACAGACACCTAAACGCCTCCCCGAAGCCGAGAGCTGAATCAGCTAAAAGGCACCGCTTGTGACTCTTTGCCCAAACCCTACGTCCCGAGGTCGCGAAGATGGCCGACTGGGGGTGTCTGCAGTAGTCGGAATGCTGAGTTCGTTGTTGTCTCGAGCCCAGCGCACAAGTTGGTGTGACCGATGCGGGGTGGAAGAAGCCTCGGTCAGCCTGCAGGCAAGGCCTTCACCGACTGGGGGCACTGGTGCCATCACCGCCACCCTCCGAGGAATCGCACCTTTTACTAGCGCATGCATGTCGTTGGTGCTGGTGGTGATGCAGGATATCGAAAACGACGTGTGCCGATTGTCGGGGCCTTCTTTGCAGCACGGGATCTGAACGAAACACTGTTGCTTTCAGATTGTGGGTGCTGAGAAAGCACCAGCCATGCCGGGGCGACGCAATTGCTTACGAGGCATGGCAAGCTTTTGCGTTATGTGGTGTGGGTTTCAGAGCATGCCTTGCAGATCCAGGTTTCTCGCTGCGTAACTCGTCATGTTTTCCAGGAGCTCCTTTTGCTTGCCGATTTAGATGCATGTTTCGTGAAGGCCTCGGTGCAAAAAGCTCCCAGTTGCTGGCGTTGAAAGCTGATCGGTGATGTCCCGCGTGCCGAGGCCTTGTTCCTCAATACATTCAGCAGCTCCCTGGGTGGTGACAGTGGCCAAGAGTCTGCTGAAGCTTTGCCGGTGCAGGTGCAGATGATACAAAATGAGAAATTTTCGCTCTGCTCGAGCCTACACGATCGTGTAGCACCAGTCCGTCCAAAGCCAAAGCTGTAGGAGTAGGCTTTTCACTTTAGTCAGTCGTTTTCGCTTGAATCTCCACCCTGGGCTTGCAGGCAAGAGGCATCGGACGCTCCCAGCGAAGTGCAGAAGCAGCCGCTTGTCCCTGGTGTTTTCGAGATAAACTCGACTTGGCACCTCAAGAATGAAGTGATGTTTCGGGAACATGTGGGAACAGGCATGCTCGACATGCCTTAGACTTATACTCAACACAGTTTCAACCGTCAATTCAAGGGTTGACCCACCCAGTCGTGTATAGCTCGAGGATTGATCATTAATGGCACTGTGGCAGTGAAGACCAAGTAGCGCCGCTTTGGGAATTCAGCAAATGCTCGACCAGGCTGTCGGGCGCGGTGGGCGCGGAAAGGGCCGTGCTCGGGGCAGGACCAAGCCCGGCAAAGGCTTGCGGGGCAGCAAAATGGTACTTGTTCATGGTGGATAGTCGTCAAGACCTCGTGTGCAGCCTGCAAGGCAAAGAGATCAGCTCCGGTGTCACTGCGGTGGCAAGAAGTCCTGCACCGGACTCCAAGAAGGCGGAATTCAGAGAAGAACGGAAATGCTGCGGTCTGGGAGCGAACAGGATATCCACGATGGTGCTCATGTGTGATTGGAGGTGTCAGCTACGACTGCTTCGGCGCTTATGAGTCGCCGAGAGGCGCTTGAGGATGTCCTGGTGACAGATGCTTCATCAAGCCTGGCAGGTTCTGGAAGCTTTTGAGACTTTCAAAGCCATTCGGGCCGAACAGGTGAGCCAGCCAGCAGTTGCAGATAGTTTTGGCTCCTCCTGCTGTTTTCATGGGTTGCTGTCTAGTATGTTGGGAGGAGCGGCTACCACGGAGAAAGGGTGCAGACACTGCGGCGATCAGATCGTGGCCTACCTATGTGTGCCAAGTGGGTTCTCGAATTGCCCATGGCACCATGAAATCAAGGCTTGACAAGATCAAGCTTCCCCAAGTGCAGATGGCAGTAAGGCGCTTGCTGTCGTGAATGGCCCAGCACTGTCAGATTCTCCCCTTCACTCACCATCATGCGGCATCGAAAGGTGTCTTAGTTCCTGAGGCGCGGGCAGGCACTTGAACTTCGGGATTTTCTGCGCATGCTGGCGCTGGCGAAGGCATCGCTGACGACCCGTGGGATGTCAGTTCCGTCTGCTGATCTCGTCAGGCACCGGCGGCGTTTTGTGACCGGCACTTGCCTCTTGGCAGAAAGGGGGAGATCTAGAGCGAGACAGATCGCGTTCTTCGGGGCTGGGGCCACGGAGGCTCATTAGGGGAACATGCTCGCATCCCGCAAGCGGTCGAACCTGGTACAGTTGCGGACCGCGGGGGTAGGCCTTCGGACCAGAGGGTTACACCTACCAGTAGCAAGCGAGCAAGACAGCGAGACGGAAAGTGTACTGTAGCCCCTCAATTTACTGTCATGCTCTCGCGGTCCTCATGATCTGCATGTTTCAAGCAATGATCTGCAATTTTCAAGGAGATGGAGGATGACCGTGGAAGCATATCAGTCTACCGTTTCGGTCAACAAGCCACCCCAAGCAGGCACTCCCGCCCAAAATCTGGAAACTTTGATGCCCCGTGGGCTTAAGGTCAGTGACACCTAGAGCGAGAAAAGAAAGAGTTAGCAGGGGTCCTTGAGAGGACCCATTGGCAGAGAAGGAAAGAGTTGTACTTGCCTGCACCAGCTTCCGCTTGGTTTCGCTATGGGCCTTTGGAAAGACAGGAAAGAGAGAGAAAGGCCCTCCCTGGAGCCAGTAGTTTACCATGCGGGCCAAAACACCAACAAACTTGCCACAAGTACCGGGGAATCGCACGCACAAACCCAAAGTGTTTTCGAAGACGTGCGATCCAGTGAGGGATCCTATGATGAGGTATCGTACTTGGCTGTTGCGTCTGCAGTAACCCCTCAAAGCAACGTGGCCCGAGCCTCAGAACCTAAATCATGTATACTTACAGTCGCTGATCCCTATGTTTTTCGTGTGTCTTGTCGCTATGGGGCTTACTCTTGGACGTTGACTCTGCTCCGCGAGCTCCTACACCACATGTCCGAAACGGGGCCGACACTAACCTAACTCCAGCGTGTTTTTCAAGGTGTGCGAACCGGGGGGATCCTGTGATGCTATAACGTACTTTGCCGTCGCTTTACACCAACCCCTCAGACAAGGACGTGGCCTGAGCCTTAGTAGTTACTACAGCTAACAGTCACAGCCGCAGCAAGGGTTTCCAATTTTCTTGCCGTATGAGGGCATGAGTCTACTGTTCCACCGAGAGGGGTGCAACCCCGTTATCGGAGTTGGTAAAACCCTGCCGTGACCTGCAGGTGCGCGCCCGCGCACGAGGGGGGGGGGGGGACCACCTGCCCTCTCTGCCCTGGAAGAGAGAAAGAGAGTCCCCTCTGCCCTGTGGAAGAAGAGTGAGAGAGAGAGAGAGAGAGAGTGCGAAAAAGACCGGAGGTTCGAACCTTGGGGGGTAGTCCTTCAAGCCAACGGGCTTCGGCCCTCACACCCCTAGCAACCAGTTATCTTTCAGACAGTTTTTCTGACTAAGCACAAACGCTTCCGATCCTCTAGCATTCGTGGCGCACTCACGAGGCGGATTTTCGAAGCTTGGATCACTGAACGTGCGGGGAGCTTACAGCAGCAAGAACTACATGTTTCTGTTGGCGAATTGGCGAAGATGTAAGATCGCACCCCGACCTCATTGTCAAGAATGTTATTCCGCGAGTTGCGGAAAGCATGGCTTGCCAATCGAGCTGGATGCGTTGCCCAGGTTCAGTTCACCGATTCGGAGCTCATAAAATATCGGTTAGCTTGGGTCTCAGCTGAAATCACAGACGGAGAGGGAGCTTTGATGATAGAAATCAGCCGAGGACAAGCCGCTTCCAGCCTGCGACCCTGCTTCTGGTCCTTTCCGTGTAGGTCATTCGCGGCTGTATCATGCTTGGCAAGTCCGAAACGAACGAATCTTGACAAACCGATAGTGCTCCCTCTACTGTAGGGCCTTGTCGAGATTCGTGGCCCACGGTGTCTGCCAGAGCCAGCCAAGTCTCTAAGGTGTCGCTAGCAGGTGCATTGGGATCGAACAGTGGCTCGGAAGCTGGACGGAGGCGCTTGCAGGCGCTGGCATGCGCTGGCCGTCGCATGGGTAAGGAGTTTCACAGCCCAGATTTGCAGCCGCCTTCTGTAGGCGCTGATGAGGCGTGCACGGGCTCCCAGCACCCAGGCAGGCTTGACGGGAGTTTGCAAAGCCTTTGCGTCGTACGAGGTTCTTCGTTGCAGTTCGCTGTCAGCCTGAGTGTTGCAGGCCTGGCTGCAGCGTCAGCGTTGTGCCCTGATTGGGGACACAGAGAAGTCCTACCAAGCCGATCACCGAGCCTCTGTTGAGTTTGTTGCGGGGCTCCAGTGCTGCAGTTCTGTGTTTTTTTGCTTCGGTTTTGGTCAAGGCATCCCCTGTGGCCAGCCAGGGTCCCGGCCATTGCAGGCCGAGCCAAGCTTACCTGTGGAGGGCGAAACTTGATCGAGGTCCCAAAAGCAGCGTCCGCGGCCTTCGGCCAAGTTTGCAGCAGAGGGCCAATCCACGACCGGCAGCTACTGGCGCAATGAGGTGACTATGCGCTGACCCTGGAGCAGATGGTCGTCCAGGCAGATGCTTTGCAACTTGGTCGTCGTGATATTCAGGGAGCCATGCCTGCTTGGAGGGTGTGCTTCCGGGAGAGCTGGCAACAGCAGCCGCCAGAACCTTCGGCCAGGGACCGAATCGCGTGGTGGAGCCGCATTTCCGGCAACATATGCGTAAACCATCACGAGCCGAGCAGATAGGCGTGCATGTGCTTGTACGTTCTTCGAAGGATGGGATGGTGCTCACATGGTCAGCGAGGGGGCCTTCTTGGAGCTGTTCGTGCCTGCGACCCCAGAGGCCCATTGCATGCTGCTGACGACTTTCTTTTTGTCATGTTTACTTTACCATAGAGGCTTGGGCCTGAACTGCATGCGGGACGTTTCATGGGTTGCGGCGACGAAGCCTTGAGCCGTCATATTAAATTGAGCCGTGCTCGCATTTCGTCGGCCGCGGCCAGGATTTCCACACTTTGGAATCTTGGCTGGTTTAAACTTTTTGTGAGTACTTGCTTGCAAGCAGCTGCATGCTGAGTTCCACGCACCGCTAGGACTTCTTGCGTGCTTTCCGGCGTGCTTGGCTGTTTGTGACCGAGAAACAGGAGCGAATCATTATTTGCACATGCCCCAGAACTTGCCGTTCGCGTCTTACCGGAGCAGGATTCCGTTGGGTTTCCATCGCCAGAAAGGGACAAGGACCGCTTTGACAGCTGTCACTGGTCGTGTTGGGTTCAGTCCCCAGTTCGTCGGCTTTTGCGATCCATCACACTTCAATTTTGATCCAGCCTTTAGCCAATACAGGCGGCTCCCGATAAACCTGACCACATCCAATCGTGTCAGGACGGGAGTTGGCTGTTCGGAGACGGGGAGCTGGAGGCCTGATGCCGCTGGGTTCGCAGCGGCGAGTTCATACAGTGTCGACGGTCTGTATATCTTGCAGGAACAACTCCGGAGGCCTAAACCGGATGTTGAGGGTTCACTGAGGCCCAAACCTCACTAGAACAAACTGCAGATACTGTAGCCACAGTATTGTCAGCGCTCCAGAGAGCTTTTGGAATTGGAAAATTTCCAACTCCCAAAGCTCTTTCCCAAAGCTCTTTGGAGAGCTGGCTCACAGCAGAGATGTCTTATGCGAGACCTCGTCTTTGCATTTTCTTTAATCCCTTTAAGCTTGCCAGGGCGAGGTCCATTTGCCTCTCGGCCGCTTGCCGCTGCGGCCAAGCTCTGCGCCAGCTGCCGCAGGAGGCAGCGGACTAGGAAGCAAACGCACAAACAAGTTCACGAGGCGCTTTCTTCGATTCTGTTGCCCCTCCGTTGGATACGAACGCCTTGATGGGGAAACCTACTGTCGAACAGCACCTCACGCCTGCGCTGCACAAAAAAGACCATGTTTGCATGCGTTCGCCTGTATGTTGTTGGTAGGATACACCTGCTTGGTTTGTCTGTCTGTGTGTCTGTTTGTCTGTTTCTTTGCTTGTATCGAGATTTGTGTACGTGCACAAAGCCAGGCTGAAAGCTCTTCTTTCTGCTCGTGGCCTAGGTAGTGGGAGGGCTTACCATGGTTTGGGGGTACCAGGCTTGTGTTGAGATAAAGGAAGAAAACCCAGAGTTCACGGCCCTGGCCCATGCCCGAACCCCCTTCCGCGGCAGGGTCCTCGGTGGATCCCTGCGCCGAGCCAGGCTGCGAGGTGCCCGGCGCCTCGAAGGAGCTCTTGTGCACCCAGCATTGCTAGACTGCTGACACTTGTCGTGGATGTAGTGTGAAGCATCCAACTCGGGGCCTTGCACGAAGGTTTTGGGGGCTGAGATCTGCCTAATTTTGCCTTGCTTCGCGGTCTCCAGGAGCTGATCCGTTGCACTTTCAGTTTTTCGGTTGATAGAAGCTACCAGGAAAGAGACATGCTTCTGCAGGTGCCTCCAAGCATGGACCTTGAAGCACGTGCCCTGCAAGCACTATTACGCATTTTTCAAGTCGATTCAGTCGAAATGTCTTCGCAGCATGGGCTGGTTCGGGAAGCCTCCTCTTGCAGTGTTGATTTCAGAAGGCTCTGCTTCATGATTGAATGTCCAGCAGTGTATGTGGGGAGAAGTTTTATGAACAAGTAACAAGAGAGGATTGAGCAGGCTTAACAGAATAGTCAGGGTCGAAGGTCAGAAGCTTTCATTTCCGTTCATGTTGAACCTGCTGATTTGATCAGTTCTACATGGTCTAGTTACAGCTTCATCGAGATCATACCCCCAAGGGCAAGCTAGCCATTCCAGAGCCTGTACAGTTGTCTTATCTCGAACATCCCGTGTTGGTCGGACATGGCGAGGACAGTGAAAAAGCCCCACTGGCAATCTCTGGAGAAGCTTCCTCTTCCTCCGCCTTTTGTGACCATTGCTTTGTTTGAAATTGGTCGCTTCAAAGCTGATCATGTAAGGGCCTCCAGCAGAGAGCCAGAAGAGCTCCAAGGCAGACTGCACACTCGCCGTCGCTACTAGAGGTAAGGGTTTCCATGCTGCGATTGTGGGTAGGGTGGTTTTGGGTTTGGGGGTGTTGCATTGAAGACATGGTCTGAAGGCATTCCTCCCTAGGGCCATGCGCAGCGAAAGAAAGAACTAAATAAAGAAATGACGAATTAAACAGAAAGAAAGAATCGAAGAAAGAAAGAAGGACAGAAAGAGGAGTTGTTTTGTTGGTGGCCACACAGATGTCGCGGCTCGTAGCAACAGCTTGCTGTTCAGGGTTATGGCAGTAGAGGCTGTCTCCAGATCTTGACCCAAAGCGTGAGAGTAGCCCAAGCAGGGAGCCTTGCACAGGAGGCGTTGCAAGATGCTCAGCTGCTACATGCGCCGCCTGTACAGGCAGGTTCATGGTGTTTTGATTGTAGTGCCCCGGCGAGTTGCGCGTGTGATTTGAAATTGTTTGCTCCTGAATTTGAATGAGACTATCTTGCTGCGTGTTTGACGGCCCTGCGTTTCCAAACGGGATTTCGGCAGCAGGTCGGAATTCCAGGCATGCTCAACTTGCCGAAGCCAGCAGTATGTAGCCCAGTGTCCACAGCTCTTGCTGGCACCAACCGTTGCATCGCCTTTTCGAAACAGTCGCTGTGCCCGAACCGTTGATGAGGTGCCGGATGACTGTGAAGACATCTCAGATCAGTGTGGGGCTGTTCTGCAGGCACATCAGACTCTTTCTGCCCATTTCCGAAATATGTACATCCCTCCAATCCAAGCAGCACCAGGGACTTCCAGCTTTTTCTGCTTGCTTCCAGGCTGAAGATCAGTCTCCAGGCAGGGTGCTTTAGAAATGCTCAGGTCAAGACGTGCAGTTGTCACGAAGTCCTGTGCCGGAGGCAGCCAAAGCGACACGGGACCTCCGGACGAGGAGGGCTTTGAAGAAGGACAGCCTCCCCCTGGAAAGTTCCGCAAGCTGGGAGATGAATCCTCGCCTGACAGTATAGGCAGAAGCAGGCCTAGTTGAACTGAGTCCGTGTGAGAGAGAGAGGCCTAGTTGAATGTGCGGCTGTTTCAGCCGGTGTAGGGCACAACTTGTTTCGAAAGCCGTTGGAACCCACAACGACGTCACAACGAGTCACTTTGGGGGAATGTCAAGGTGCACCTTTGGTAGGGGTCAGGGGCAAGTTATTAGATGCTACATCGTGACATGCAGGATTTGAGATAAATGCGTTTTGCAGATGGCGGCAATTTTCTGTCTTTGTTAAGGGTGATTCAAGGTGAGATTCCTTCAACTAGTGGTCTTGTGCCAGGGAGCGCTGGCGAGGAAAGCAAGGCGCGAAGTTTTTTCGGGGATCCTGCCGTGAGCAGCGTAAGTTTCCATCGCCAGCCAGCTGCCATGTCAAAGTTGTGGACTGGGATCACTGGGATGTGTCTGTGTGTTGGCCTTATGAGGACACCACCAAAAGCGAGTTCCAGTGCTGACATGAGGTGGAGAGTCATTCAACAATGCTGCCTTCAAAGTCCTCCCCTCCATGCGTGTTTTTTCGATCCCTTTTATTGATCAAGCTTTTGCCGTTTTTGTTGCCTGTAGGTCGCCTTGGATGATATGCCGGAGGTGGACGAGGAGGCAGCGCAGCAGCACGTTGCTCCTCGATAAAATTTCACGAGTCAGCAACACACGCACACACACACACACACACAAGTCGCCATGATTTCTTGCCAAACCATCTCACCGAATCGAGCTGGCTTGTGGTTCTGGGTAATAGGAGGGGGCAGTCAATGCACACGTGCAAATGCTGGCTGCTTGTGCCGTCTACAAGTTGTTTCCCGACCGATGTTCGCCTGTGCCCATGACTTCTTGCGAAGTGTCTTCTGGAGGCAATGGGAAGCCCTGTGGCTCCAAAGATTGAGTCCGCTGCGGAAGAGGTTGAGGAGGATAGCGCCGTGTCACTGAAACTTGTGGCTCGCTACAGTCATTCAAACGTTGACAGTCAGCTTGAGTCGTTCTCAGTATGGCCATGTTGGATGGAAGGAGGAGCAGGTTGGCTATGCCGAGATTATCCGACGAAATGTGTAGGGCTTAGCTCCCAGCCAGATAACCCTAGGCAAGTTGGATGTCCTGTGAGGATGAGTCCTACACCATGCCAGAGGAGGATCTCTGCCTGGTAGACGAGGACATGCGAAGTTTTTGCTCTTCGCCGACTTTGCCAGGTGGTGTCACAGCTTTGCGATTCAAGATCCAACTTGTTGCAACTGCTGTCTGTTGCCTGTCCGATTTTCGGCTTTCTCCTAGCTTCCGTGTAGCAGCAATCCACTGCAGACTCTCGGTGTCTTTGAGATGGTTCGTTTCTGTGCCGTGCAGTCTGCGACTGAAGGTTGTCCTGCTTGGCCTTGGCATGTCAATTTCTGATTGTAGTTTCAGAGCCCAGATTTCAGGCCGTAAGCTTTTATGAGCCTAGCCTGCAGCAGCCTAGCGACGGCATGTTGTGGCATCTTCCGTTTGTCAGTCCGAAGTCGACTAACTTGGCCTGGCATGTGAATGCTGTGCGGGGGTCCCTGCATTGCAGCATCTGTGATTTTGCTTCCTGGCCCACGGACATCGGACATGCTTTGCGTGGTCGGATAGTGTCGAAGGTGGGTTGACCTGCGTTTTTGTGTGATGTGGGCCGATCGCAGATGCACTTCATGTGTCGCTTAGCTGCCGTCTCCCCATGCACGTGCCCGCTCAAAGTCAGCACGTTCGTCTCACTGATGTTGAATCCTGGAGACCTGCATCGGTGCTGCTGGGTTGCTGCGGGCGAATCCATAGAGAAAAACGGACAAAATCCGGATCTGGAACCTGTTGACGTAGCCTTCCCCGATTCCCCGATGTTGAAATAATTGAAAAAGCAACCAAGGAGACCTTACCATGCAACGCAGCTGATGCTGGCATCTGCTCCTTGCTCCAGTGGGATATGATAGTGCTTTCGTGCTAGGCTCGGGTTCATGATGCTCAAATCAAAGTCAAAGGGTTCGTCGATTGCAGACCTTGGAGCAGTCTTTGTGGGCGTGGGCTAGGCCTCGCAGTGGCTGCCGTATCGCCTGCTGCTTCTTGCAGCACTGGGCAGAGCGCAGGCCGGATCTGCGCCTTTGTCGGATCCTCTTGGATCCTCTTCATGTCTGGTGTAGGCCCCTGGCTCCTGCGACCACGTGGCTGCGAGCTACAGTTCTTCCTTGCTGCAGACAGGCCAGTGAGCCACGCAGTGTCCTGAAATTCCGCGTCTGGTAAGATCCCTCCTCGTGCGGGCTCAGCGGGCTCACTAATCGGCAATTGCAAACTTTCAAGGGAAAGTCCCAGGCTTTAGACATATCCCGTTTCTTTTTGAGGCGATTTGTGTTTTGGGAGAAGCCCTAAGGAATGAAATGCTTGGCTCTCATGCAGCTTGACAGGTAGCTTTAGCTTCGACTGCTGCTTGCAGCCGGCAATGCCGGGAAGCACGGAATAATGTCAGGCATGTGCGTACATCTTGCTCCTAACGCAGGTATATTTAGATGATATCTGATACATACCTGTATAGAGGAATCCAAGCAGAAGGCAAGCCGTCAAACCAACAACCAAGGCCACATAAATGCAGGGACATTACCATCACAAGCCAGGGTTCTGGGGATAATCCTTACCTTTATGTGCCGCAGTCTGCCTTTTCTCAAAAAGGTGCTGCAGCTGAACAGCTCCAGCGAGTGCACGCGAGACACAGATCAACATTACAAGCTGTGAGGGGCTCAGTTAGGAAGAGCAAGGCTGCTTCATGTGACTTCTGCTTGAAGTCTCGCTTTGCTGGCGCAGTGAACTCCGCTATGGAAGAATGGTCCGTCAGACAAGTCGAGCTATTAACTTGAGCGAGTTTGGGTTTTCTGCGCAGACACTGGAAAGGCATTGTCGCTGACAGACTGGGTGAGCTTGGTCCTGATCGCCAGCCCCCCAGATCAAACGGAGCTACGGGTTCATCAGGGGCTGGAGGGTGTGTCATGATGCGGCCTTACGGCAAGCACAACATGCACAACACACGAGCTGAAACTCTTGACGAAAGTGGCTCGGTGGGAGATGTGCAGGTCGCGATCATCGCCTTCGTGATTTACTTGCTCTGGAACTCTTCTCGAGCTGCGCCGGAGCCGAGAAAGGAGTCACACGTGAGTCCAGAAGTGCCAAATCAACCGCCAAGATGATTGCTCACCTGCTTGCTTCGAAGCCGTGAAACGATCGGGGTTAAGCGACACCCCCGTTCCTCCGACGAAGGAACTTGGGGGAACGTACCAGCCCCCATACGATAATCCCCCATGTTATAGTATGATTTTGATCATAAGTATGATTGGGGAGGCGGGGATGGGTGCTGGGGGGGCATTTGTTGCGGTGGTGGAGGGAGCCGTGGTGGAGGTGGTCTTGGGGGTCAGGAAGAGGAAGGGCGCAGGGGTGCCCCCCCAAGCTTCAAGCCACCGCACAAAACTAAGAACTCTCTCGGTAAAGCTGATCAGTTCCGCTCCATATTCTCTGTGCTAAGTCAGTCAGTCCATTACACATGTTACAGAAGGCGGTTCAAAGGCCTTGCTCGTTGGCTGTTGCCAAACTTCGCATGCCAGATCGGGCTTCTAAAGGTTGCAGGTTAAACACAGTCAGTCGAAGCTTTTACAAGCAATCCAATGTGCAGGATGCCGTCGGCAGCCAGGTAATGCGCGAGGCACTTGCACAGGGCAGGTGACGCTGGTGCAGGTCTAAAGAGGTTACGGGATTTGTGGCATCGTACTCGTCATTGATGTAGCATCCCGCAATCTACCAGGCAGTATGAGGTTTGGCATGTCTTCGTGTCTCTCTGGAACAGGAGCACAGTGGCTATTCTCGCAGAGATGTGCAGACTTGCTGCTGAGCCGCGACTTCTGCGCAATATTCACCAGCATCTGCGGAGCAGAGAGTTGGCACAGAAGAACCTGGAAGTGATTGAAATAAACCGGCACAATTTTAATTTCGGAACCCGGAATCCTTCCGAAATCTAGTCCAATGTCTAGGCTGGTGCACTGCGACAATCTTTGATGCAGATTGTCAAATGAAGCATTTGCTCCCGGTTCTTCGTAATCACCCTTGAAAATGCTGGACCGCCGCTTTGTCTATAGGGGCAGGGCGTCCTGGCTCGTGGAGGATCGGAGGATTGCTTCGGTGCGAGCCGAAAAGCTTGGATTGCCAGCGACAGCGGGGCCAAAGCGAAGAGGCCAAGAGAGTCACCAACCAGGGCGGAGTAGGAAGCTAAACCGCCCAGAAGGCCGTGACAGTGACGCAAAGATGACATGCCTCATGTCGAAATTACCTTCCGAACTCTGACCCTTCTACAGGTTACAGAAAAGGTCAAATCTCCAATTCTTAAGAGAGCGTGCTATGCGTGCCTTGAGCGGCTTCTTGTGGCGGACAAGGTTCTCATGACCAATCTTGAGACTGAGCTCCGCACAAGCTTCAGTGCAAGTGTCTGAATCATGCTCTCCAAAGATCTCCAACGTCTAAGGTAGATAGTATTATTAGGGGTACCCCTTAAAGGGTACCCCTTCTGAGCCCTACTTTTGGCTCTCTTAAAAGGGACCTTATTGAGAGGGTCTATATCCCCAAGGGTCCCCCTAATCCTAGCTCCCATAAGGGTGAGCCTGAGCAGCCTGAGCAGCCTGAGCCTCATCAGGAGCTCCCCAGTCCCAGCTGCAGGAGTTTCGCAGGCGGGTTGAGACTGAACGCTCGAGATTTTGCCCAAAGGCATGGCTCTCCTTCCGTTGAAGCCAGTTGCAATTCCAGTTGGCACGAACGCCTGCCGCTAGCAGGGCTAGATTCAGTATATCATGCTGGAATGGTTCCGTGCATGCGATGTCTTGTGGCAGGCGAGGTCGAGGAGGACTACGAAAACCCTGAAGCCACGCCTGCTTGCGGCTATCCAGGCCCGGTCATGAGAAGCGAGGAACGTGGGGAAGTGTCTGGACATGTGTGTGCTGATTCAAGCTTCGGGCTTGTGGGAGCGTGAGCTGCCATGGCACACCAAAATGCCGGCTAGGTGTCGTCGCCAACTGAGCTTAAGTCTCACTCTTTGCATGCTTGTTTTTTCGTTTTCTAATCTGTCCCATTATTAGGGGGCTTCGGGCCACCCGCGTTGCATGTGCTTCGGGCCCTTCTTCCGGCAAGGTCGCCCTGCCGTTTCACCTCTGTGCAAGTTTCGCTGTGAGTATACGCCGCGACTGCGCCTCTGTCTGCACAGAGATACTCCTGTACAGAATACAGCGAGGCCTTGCTGTAGTTGCAAGTTTTGAAAGGTCCCGTACACCGAATGCGTTAGTGTCCGTTGAGGAGACAACAGCCACATCGGCTTTGACACAGGGCTCTTGTTCCTTGCCAGCCGTGCATGCTGGTTTGTAATTGTACTATCTGCAGGATTTGCTTTGCGTCGGCCTTTCATTTCGCTTGCTTTGGCTCGCCTGCTTGCATGCGAACTGCCTAAACGAGTACTGACTGCATAGACCGAGTCTAGGATGCCCAGCTTGAGTCTCCCCAAACCTCCCAACACATCACTTCAGGCGACGAGTTCCCCAAGCAGACATCCAGTCCCACAATAGCCTCAAAGATCGTACCCTATCCAGCCTGCAAAATGCGGGAAGACAACTTCCTACAAAAGTTCCATGATTTGGGAAGTGCAGGAGACTCAGAGACTGCGACTCCAAGAGATTTCGGGTTGCTGTTCAAGTTTGACCCAGGCCGATGAAGAAAAGCGCTGCCGAGCGGCGCCACTTGGATTCGAAGCCCAGGGGGCCAACTGCTGCAAGGTGGATAGTCGTTCTTACACTTAAACTCCGTAAAGGTTCCGCGGATTTTCACAATGCTAAAGCACATGCCTGTGACGTGGGAGCCGGAAGGCGATTCGGCGAGATTCGTTCGCCGACGTGTTCGGGATAAGACTCATCGCTACTTTTCCAGAGTCATTTAGCCTTTCCAGAGTCATCTAGCCTTCCGACGAGGGACTGCGAAGGCACTTCAGATGTTCGCAAGCGCTCCTTACACTGCCCACGGACAAGCCAGATGGGAGTCCAGAATAGATGTGCACCGGTGTGCTTGCAGCTGACGAGCTTGCTGGTCTAACACATGCTCGCTGTCTTCGTGCTCAGGCGTGGGATGACGGTGGCTCTGCAAGGTGACCGGCTGGGCAGCGAAGACCTCTCGTGCGCTTACCGCTTCTTGCTGCTCGCAGCAGATGCTCCTGTACCCAAGATCCCAAGCCAGGTACACCATTCGCAGGTTGGTACGTGGGGCCTTGATCTCAGCCAGACGGTTCAGCGGTCGATACAATACGAGCGTCAGCACAGTCTTGCGTGAATCCCAGTCCTCAGATTGTAATCGTGATCCGTTTTACCGTGCCGCGCGGGCCTGGCTGCAAGCATTAGGCAAGGGGAGATGCATGGCAGGTCATCGTAGCTGGGGTATGTGCTGAGCAGTCTCCATGCTGCAGCTGTGCAAGCAGTGCCAGAGTGAAGCCGTCTGCATTCAAGCTTGGACGCTCGAACAAAGCATTGTGTTATTTTTATTGCGTCGCTCACTCTGTTCTTTGGATGCCGTGGCAATCGCTTCAGTGAGCCGCTTGGCTCTTTAAGCCAGGACTGAATGCAGTTTCGGTCTACAGGGCATACTTTGGTCGGCCATTCGGGTCCTGGGCTCTTGTGAGTAGGCCGGCTCCTTTGGGGGATTCGGTCTAAGGCCAAGTGTGAGCAAAAAGCTTCGTTTATGTTGGGCGATCTTTTTGGGCTCTGCACATCTCCTGACCACAAGTCCGGAAACCTCAAGCAGCAGGTGAATAGGCAACATAAGGCTCCCAGATCTGCATTTGTTAAGATTCCCTACTCAACACTTTGACGTCAGGCAACGACAGAGGCATGGATCAGAGGGCGCACCATGCCGCCATCAACAAGCTAGACATGGAATTGGACGAGTATATGGCATTCGATGCTTGGACGGACCTGGACCCAACCCAACAAGTCGCTCGATCCCAAATCCATCCGTCTGGCGGCATCGGAGCTCCTAAACGCCCACAACAGAACGGGGTCATTCCGTTGGTCGATGAAGTACGGATTGAAGAGAAGCCCGCCTGCCAGTGGAGTCGTCCGGTGTGTGTGCATGCCAGCCGGTAGCTGTCCTTGCCTGTTTCTCACAAGTCCTGCCAGAGGTCAACCCAGCTCCTCCCAGGCCCAAGCAGAGTATTCGAAACCAAGCTCGGCCCGACCTTGCCATTGACCGCAATCTTTTCGTATCCTCCATCCTGCTCGTTGGGGCTTGTCTTGAGATTTGTCTGAGGAAGCTGTTTTTTACCGTGCAGTTCTTGCTGTGCCTGATGATGAAGGTGGTTTCGCAAGGCTTACTGTATCGGCATATTCTCTGAAGCTCGTGCCGAGGATGATGCGTCCCGTGTTGCTGCTCGACCGGAGCTGATGGATTTGTGCTTGAGACCAGTCTTAGGAAGTTGTGCTGCCGAGACTCTCCTATCAGGGATGCAAGCGGAATGGAGGCGGTCGAAGTTTCAAAAGCAGACCAGTTGAAGGGAAGATGGCAGCAAGTTTAAAGCCCAAAAGAAGCATGCGGGCTTGCACCCACGGGGAAGCCCGCAAGCATTTTTGTTTTGAGACATCACAACTCTTTGGCTGATCATCTCTGTGGGCGAGGCGTGGCTTGCTGAGGAGCTCGGCGTTCGGCCTTCCGACCTCTCTTTTCTTCAGCTTCTCGGCCGGTTTCTCCGACATTGCAGCTAGCGAAGACCGAAGTGTTCATGAGTGTTTTGGCATTGTTGCGGTTTGTCGAACATGCTCCGACCCGACCAAGGGCTTTACCACCTGCACTGCAGCGCAACATCTGCAACCCAGTTTGCACCGGGGAATTTTTTTAAGGGCTTCGGTCGCGGGATGCTGCACAGGCTGTCTTGCATTCGCTTGTTCCTTGGTATTTTCCTGCTCTAGCGCCGCGATCGCGATCGGCGTGTGGGCCGGGGCCTCGGTGGCCCGCCCCAGCTCAGGTGAGACCTTCGACAGTTCGGGCACCAAGGCCGTTTTTGGGAGGGAGGGGTGCCGCAAAGAGGGGGCGACCAAGGTGCCCCAATCTCATGAAGGATGGGGTTTGCTTGAAGAGAGGAGGGGGACGGCACAGAGCTCCCGACACTCCGGGCCTGTGAGGATGGAAACACTTTAGAGCGCTTGGAAGCCTACGCCAGGCGACTCCCTGCGCGATTTGGGGATTCCGTGCTCCGTTTACGGGTTCAGTGGCTGGTTGAGTTTGCAACCCGAACGCCCTCAACCCGTCGTCCGAGTAGGAGAAAGGCTCAGGGCCCTGCCACAGCCCCAAGATGCGGGTTAGGGCGATGTCGTGAGTCCAGTAGCAGTGGATGCCAAGCCGCGTCGGCCCAAGCAGTCGGCCCTGTCGCCCCAGCACTTTGGCAATGCCTCGATATGCCGCGGGGCGGGCAGTTGGATGGTTGATGTTTTCGGCTAAATGTGCTCATGGCATCATGACGCACATAGGTTGTCATCAGCCACCGCGACTGGTGCGGTGCTCGGCTGAGGTGATTCGCGGCCAAGAAGTCGAGGCCGATTCCGTTCAGAATGCGCCGCATGCCTGGCCTTATGTTCCCTGCAGAATCTTGCAAGCTTGGCCTAAACAGCAGAGAGCTAAATGCAGGATTGTTTAACTGATTTATAGAGGGTAGGTTCAAGATAATAGACATGAAAAGTTTGATCCGTGTCCTTTTCGGAGCTCGGAGTTTTCCTGGATCCTTTGACAGCCGTGGCCCAGGCTGAAGCTTGCTGGTCCAACCGTGGTGTCTTCTCCGGGGCCCACGCCTCACATTCCCTTGCCTCACCAGCTCTATTCAATGCCGGGTTTGATGTGAAAGTGTATGACGAGTTCATGTTTGGGCGGGCTGGACAGGGTTCTTGGCACATGCCTTGCCCGGTCCCCGAGGGAACCTATGATAGTTGAGTGTTCGTTCAATGATCTCTTGGGCCAGATGTGGTGGTTTCCACTGGCCGGCTACTGCCTGCTTTTGATGCGAAAACCCATGCCATTTCACGTGCGTGGGCGAGGCTGTATGCTTTCCGTTTTTCAATGCTGTACGAGTTCGTAGCCTGTAGTTTGCGCTATCTCGCTTTCCTACGGAGTAGGCTGACGCAGTGCGAGGACATCTTCCGCACAAGCACGCGGCGTTTATTGTAGATCAGTATATCAGTGTATCCTCGAGTATCGATCGTTTCCGAACCGTAAGGACACCGGCCTCGGAGGTCAATGTTGGATTGTATGATGCAGAGTAACATTAAGCTTGTTATATAATGTAGCATCAAAATACGTTTTACTTTATCATTATTCAGCCTTGATGGCATGATACAATATGATGTAATGTTCAATGAAACAATGACCATAAAATGATTTATGTTTGATTGTATTTTTAATCTATTGTTTATTGATTTGTTTATTCTATTATATATAATTATATCAATTGTATTTGAATAGGAACTTTCATATTATATCATATATTAATACACTATATATTATGATTGTTGTTATTTGCGTTTCGCATTATGATGATGTGTAATGTATTACATGTTAAATATATTGTAGTATGGTATGGTTTACTAATTTACGTTGTACATTGTTCTATAGTATATGTAACGGGTTACATATCGTATATGTGTTTTGATGTTAAGTTATGTTATGTATGTTATCATATAGTTATCTGTTGCGTGTTGTGCACGTCTTGTTGTTCATTATACAACATGTATTATGCATAGTATATAGCATATAAAATATGAGATGTCATATTTTATATACAACACTATCTAATGTGTATATATATACATACACACACACACATATATATATATATAAATGTGTACACATATATATATATACATGTGTGTGTACACAAATATACAATGTATTTACAGACGTGTTATATTATATTGCATTACAACATTTGTTTACATGTATATACTTATATCATACTTATACTATGTGTTTATAGTATTGTGTATACATATATATATATATATAGAATAGCCGATCTTCTATGATATGTTATGACATGGTGCGATATGACATGTAATTCATATGTCATCCTGTCATCTTGCAGTACATTACGTTACATGTCATTACAATTTATTACATTGCTTGATATTGTGTTATTAAGTTATGCTGTACTGTGCTATATGTATGTTTACAGGATCTTTACAGCTATGTATATGTATATATATATATACACATGGTTTCCGTTGGGTGAATGAGAACAGTTGCTTCATGTGCAGATGCGGTCGTTTAGTATGTGGGGAATGGGGAAGTAGGCGTACACGGAGGAGCAGGAACAAGAAGGACTTGATGTGCTTGTGGTTGTGATGGGGCTAGGTAGCGGCTAGATGATGAAGAGGCTGATGATGGTGCTGATGATTGTGCTGATGTTGATGACGATAGACACGAGCACTATGATTAGTAGCATCAGTCGTGCACTCCTGTTTATCGTGACGATGATTCCTTCCGAGGCCGGTTGGGTCTCCGGTGCGGCCCGGGTCTTCGAGCGCCATCTCTCCTTTCGGAGTGCCAGGCCGGGTGGTGCAGTGGGCAAAGGGAACGAGGAGTTTGGATGGCAGAGTGTTGGATTGAAGCTTTTTACTCTTAGCCTGCCTGTCTCCTGAATTCGTCCTGCCGACCCCGAACATCACCCTGAGCTGTCCGAGTGGAGTCGCTGTGTGCCACAGGTGGCCTGCGTTCATTAAGCCGGGATCCCGAGTCAATGCTTTGAAGCAAAATGCCTCGACTGTGGTGCGAGGTCGCAAGGTGGGTTTTGTGATGTTTTGTGCTAGTCGTTTTGCTTGAGATGAATTCCTCAGAACACATCAGCAATTTTGGGGCACCCTTCAAGGATGTGCAAACAGAAAGAGACTCTGGAAATGTTGGAAAATCACCGCCGAAGTCGCGTCGCGAACCTCTCAAACCCCATCCAGCCTCCAAAGCCTTCATACTAGGGTCTGACACTTGGAATGCCACACGCCTACGGTGAGGTTCTTGGTCCAATGGATGGTCCCCCCGGCGGCAGTTCGAGGTCCCCTGTACTTGCTGGGCATAGGGGAGGCCTGGGCTCTGTATCCCGATAGTTCTTACACAAGGCAGCATTAGACAGAATGGAGTGCATGCTCTCGAGCATGCGTAGGCTTGTGCTTTGGATGAGATAAGGGGTCTCGTCGACTATCGTAGTTTGCCGCTGTAGTGGAGACCGGACATTTTGGGCTATGCTGAAGGTGTCAGTGGCCACACCCCATTGAGAGCCCGGTATTCAACATCCAGAAACGGATACGGGGGATTGAAAGAGGCTGAGGAGGCGGTTATGGTTGCATTCTGAAGGTTTCCGAAGCAAGAAGATGTCAAGCTAGCCTGCAACTACACCTCGGCTAATCATCTACTCGCCCTCGGGCGAGGTGAGCATTCTGGGCCAAGTGATTACTCGGAGACTTGGTTGTGCAACGCATGCTGCCGTCTTTTGAGTCATGTTCTGCAGGGAGCGGTCGACTTCGTGCCAGCTGCCACGTCGGACAATGCGTCAGGCTCGTGTTGTTGAGCTTTCTCCATGGCGACCCGCCGCCCAAAATGGCAGACAAGTGAAGCATCCTTGTTTACGATTGTGCAGGCAGCACATTTCTACCGTTCCTGCAACACCCCTCGCAATTGGCATGATGACAAGCCAGTCCCGCACGTTTTGTTGGCGAGTCCCCAGGCTGGTAATCCGAAGGTGCGGGCATGTCAGATTTGCTTCCACAGGCAGAAGATGCCCTGAAGACTTCTCTTGTGTGTGCATGTACCATATACCCCAGAAGTTTCGACAGCCTTGTCTAAAGGGAACCGCAGAACGAGGAAGGAGTGAGCAGCACTTTTTTGTGCACTGTTCCCGCTAGTTTTGACAGGAAACATGACCTCTGGACTGCGACGGGTTTCAAACGAGACTTGCTTGCCTCAGTCAGTGCTTGCCTGCAGGAGGTTGCAAAGAGTCGTTGGAGGGCATGGGGTGCAGCAGTCGAGTAAAAGCGTTTACTTCCGTGCAATGTGGAGAGAAGAATGCAGTTGGAAATAAGGACACACGAATCAGGCCGCCGTCAGAGCCACATCCTGTGGAGAACACCCTTTTGTTCCTACCGGAGTATGCCGTGCCTTTGGTGGCAGGGCATTGGGACCTTAAACAGACCAAAGGCCGCAGGCATGCCCAGCATCAGCCCCGAGGGCAAGCAAGATTGGGATCACAGTTGTGGTCGCAGGGTTGTCAAGGCCGAGGGCCTCGCTATGGATGGGCAGGTCCAAGAAACGGCAGAGTTTTCTTTACTCGCACCTGCGGAACTAGTCCTGAAGCAAAGGTGGGAGAGCTCTTGCTCGAGCCCAACATGTCCGACAAGGGAGACACCAGGACACCTGGTTTGAGCAGTTGAACCTCATAGTCGTAGCACCAGCCATGCTGCCGCCCAGGAAAGAGCTCTGGTTCGGCCGGGTCTGGGAACTTCGGGAGCTCCTCCGCGTGCAGCACGACGAGTACCTAGCGAGGGCGCCTCGTTCGTAGCTGGTGAAGTTCGGGAGGTTTCGTTTTCGGATCCAGGATCTCAGCGCTTTGAGATGTCGGGCCCTCGCTTCCTGCGAAGCTCTTGGAGCTGGATTTGTCCGTCTGCGTGGTCATGAGTTTGGTTGCATCCGCGAGTGGCTCGAATATGAGGCTAGAGCATGAGGAGTCGTTCCCGCGTTAGAAATCTGTTCGATAACAGCTGCAGCCACGACGAGCGATCATCAAGCCTTCCTTTGCTCACTCTTGAACATGTCGTGTCAATGACGTGGACAGACGAGAGACAGACTCAAACAGACTTGTAGAGACACTCGGCATCAAACGCAGCTCTTGCCATTGAAAACTGGCGCGAAGTGGTGTCAACATCAACTTAACTGCAAACTCTCGGACCCAATGCATACGGCGCACCGAAGCTGCGATCACGCCCGCGCTCCGTTTGTTGCCTCGTCCTGAAGTTGATTAATCGATAGCCTGCATAGCCATAGCTGCCATACCTCTCATCAGGTGAATCGCGGCAAGCCAGAACCTGGATTGACCGCTGCAGACGTGCAGGCCCTGGATGCCATGCTCAAGGATCCCAAGAAGACCCGTCGGCTGCACTTCTTCCAGCGGTCCAGGATCTGACAGTGAGAGGGCAGGTGAACAGGAAACAAGGGAAGTTTCCTGAGCACCCCTTTGAAGCTGTGCTCAATCAAGGAAAAGCCTTCTGACAAAGCTTTGTGCCCGGTGGAAAGGCTCGTGTGCATCCAATCCCACGAACCAAATTGACGACGGTTCATTGCGTTTTGGTTCTGGGATGCAACATTCTCGACACTTCCCGCTTGCACAATTTAAGAGGATACCAGTTCGAGCTGTGCCTGGGTGGGAGCTGCCTTGCCCAAGCTGCTGTCAACCCTCATCCTCCTAACAATTCTCACGGTATCATCCTGCGTGGCATAGTGGCAACAGCACGGCTTCGCAACCCTTCCTCTTCTCCTGCGGCAGGCACGGCAGTGAGAAGAAGGAACAGTCTGCGAGTGCTGAATCGACTGAAGTATTCCTATCTGAGAGGCACCGTCTCGCGGCGTGGATGATGGTTGTCGGTTTTCAGGTCGAGGAATCTCGAACATGCTTTGAAAGGTATTCTCATGTCTCTCACCAGCATCTGGCAGTCTGAAAGTGAAATACATGGGAACCTAAGCTTGGCAGATTCTTTTTCTGTTCTTCGGAGGTTTCTGGCATGAGTAGTCCCGAAGCCTGGGCGCCGGCAGAATATGCATATATGGACATGTATATGTATATATGTATGTATGTATGTATGTACGTACATATGTACGTATGTCTGCATGTATGTAAGTATGTATGTATGCATGCATGTCAGCTTCTCGAGCTTTCTGATTTAACGGCTGCGTGCAGATAGCAGTAGACAGTTGCTGACTATGCTCAGGTCATATATGCCCATGGCTCCGGCGGCTGCAGCTGGGATAACTTCCGGATTTGCCGGATGATGGCTCGGATGGGGATGTGACCGAGATGCAAGTGAAGAAAGCACTGCCTCCTTCGTAAGAACTACATAGCCCGAGATCGATTCTTGGGCACAACTTTGACTAGTTCTTTAAACCCATGTGGCTGCGCAAGAAGGCTGGTCATCGCCCCGGACGGCTTTGCCTATCCAAAGAACACGGACTTGGGCAAGATGAGACACAAGGCAGACCGTTGCTTGTCGCTCGTTTCGTTGTTAGCTCAGGCCGAAGGCCCTTCGCAAACACATAGCGCTCCCCTTATAGACAAGGAAGGGCTTGCAGGAATCTCCTTTTCTGGGCCCGGCAGCCCATGCAGGACGTTCAGCCGCTGAAGCGAGCGACGGACCTGTGGCTGCATATTTGTTGCTCTGAAGCCCACACCTTGTCAGCTTTCGTAGTTCGTGGTCGTTTTTGGCCAGCTGATTTCAAGGACGAAGTGGATTATTGGGCAGATGATTTGGTGTATTCATCGGGTGCAGAGCCTCGGCGCGCAATGGGCAATCGGGAACTTGTAAGCTTCAGGCCCACGGCTCTCTGGCCGCTAATCTCCCAGAACGATTGCCTCAGTCCAAGCATCTCGGCTCGTGCGTTGTCAGACCATGGGGACGCGGTCCCAAGGATGGTTCGCACACGTACTCCACCAAAGCCGATTCCGTTCTGGACAACCCAGACAAGGCGAGACGGCTGCAGGGCAAGTAGTAGTCCAAACACGGACGTGATGCTCTGGCAATTCTGATGTCAGCCGTCTGCGGTTTTCAGAATTTGCGTGTGCCCGGTGCCAGTTTCGAGATCTTTATGAACGATGCTATCAGATGCGACGGCGAGAGCTTCATTGGACGATTGAGAAGCTTCCCAGGCCACGCCTGCTTTAGCAAGTTCTGCCTTGTGTATGCGGTCAACAGTTTAACTTTTGTTGTAACAGTCGGTATTGAAGATGATTGCAGCGAAGAGCGTCAGCTTTGCACACGGTCAGCTTTGCTTTGCCCAGGTGGATTCGGACACAAGGCTTCTTCATAGGCACGTGGGCTGCTTCAGATAATCGTCGAGTTGTGTGCTATGAGTGCAAGGTTGACCGCAGGATTGTGTCAGGTACTCCATGAAAAGCTCGGCATGCTTTCGGCAAGGATTGCAAAGTGAGAGCTGCAGATGCTGCACGACAAAACAGCGCTGCGAAGCTTACTGGCTCCAGGTGGCACATCTGAAGGGGCCATGACCGTGTCACGGTTTGATGACGGAAGGTATGGGCACCAGGTGCTGGGCCGTGCCTGGCCTGCATGCTTCACCCATAAAATCACACACCTAACAGTCCTAGGATACCAAGATGGGAAAGTAATGTGAAGAGACAAATTTCGTTCTTGCTTTTTAAAATTGTGAGCGACGCATAATGGAAGCAAGAAAGAAGAACGAAGTAAGGAGCGACACCAATAATTCTTTTTGTCAATGTTATAGTTTTCATATCTTGTACCTCTTTTGACATATCTGTATCGCACCTCAGATTCCAGCACTAGTTTCTTTCACGATAATATTATGGAGTGAATTGTTTGTCTTTGATTGAATGAAATAGACAAACGGAAGTGCGTGTTTATTTTATTTATCTAAACACAACAACGAACGAAGTTTGGGTCTTTTGTGCTTTTGCCTTTTGTTCCTTGTGCTTTCTTCTCGCTTACGTTTCTTGAGCTTCGGTAGCAGCTGGCAAGTGCTGGAAGTGATCTTGCAAAACAGCCAAGGCTTCATCAACTCCTTCAGCATAGAGTATTGTTTCTTGGATGATTAATGACCGGGCAGTGGCAGCAAGTTCTTGCATTGTTACTGGCCGCACTCAGGTTACTTTACGCCCAAACAGGAAGATGCACAAATTGGAGGCAACAAAGACGTTCCCACCTTGAACATCATCGGTACTTTGGCATTTAGAAGACCTGCCGTCACATCCAAAATCAAGGCGTTTTCGCGATTTCAACTCCTGCACTCGGTTTGTTTACAGAAGCCCGTTGCTGCTTTGAGCTCGGCTAGACTTGCCTGAGGCACGAAAGATGAATACTTTGGAGGAGCGGACAGTGCTTGTTGGCGGCAAGCATTTTGCGGACTGCACATGCGTTTCTGAACATTGTACACTCATTGCTGAAAACAAGATGTCCTGCACTCTTCAGCAGCGTCTTGCGTCAATCCATGCAGAGCGCCACATATTTATGATATGTGCATAACAAAAATTTGCTCGCAAAGCCTTCAAGCTAGTCTCGTACATGTAATCGCAGTTCCATTCCAGGTTGCTGCCCTTGTCCAAGCTGACAAAGAGCGCGGCTTCGGGGATGTCAAGCTAGAAGCTCTTCTTGATTGGCACATTTTTCCCTTCCTTGTCCCTCTTACGCAACTGATTGCACAAGTGTCGAAGCCTGCCGAGAACTGTGTATAGAACAGACGGCCTACCCAGCGGCAAGTTTCACGATGAGGTTCAACTTATAAACTACAACGCATAAGTCCGTCTTGACCTCAGGACGGGCATGGTTTCGACATGATGATGGAGCAGGCCTATTGAATCTATTTCTTCGCGCATGCTCAAACCATCCATAATTCATCTGAAGATGCCTTCTGGATGAAGGCACCCAAAAACGTTTTCATGGGCTTATCCGGTTCTTCAGACAGGATACAAAAAGGAGCAACAGTGAGAACTATCCCCCGTATATAGAAGACAGGACGTCACCTTGTCCAGTGGGGTTGCAAGAGTGATATACACAGCATCGCCATGTGCTTCACGTGTCTCTCACGCGCCAACCCTGCCAGGAACTGGGCACTGGTCTTGTATGCTACATGGAAGGAGGCAAGCATGGACCTTGCACCTCGTCTTGTGAAAAGGATTTTTGAACGTCTCTGTCCGTCTCTTTTCGTTTCTCTCCGTCCGTCCGTCCGTTCTTCCGTCCTTCCGTTCGACCCGTTCGTCCGTTCGTCCGTCCGTCCGTTTTTTCGTCCGTTCGTGTCCGTCCGTCCGTCCGTGCGTCCGTGCGTCCGTGCGT